TATGTGATAACTAATTAGACATGATAATTGGAAATTACTATCTAAAAGGACTTGTTTATATCTAATTCTAATAACTATGATACATGTTGCTTTTATACAAATCCAAAATATAATTTATCAGCTATATAAATTTATGTTTATTATATTACTTAAATTTTATTGGTCTAATATTTGTTCACTCATTTGTTTAGTTATTCGTTTATTCATTTACTTGTATACTTGTTCACTCGCTTCACGTGATTTGATCTTTATCCAATAAAATATGAAATATATATAATTCAATAATATGAAATATTATGATGAAAGGTCATTATACAATAATATTAAAGATTTTTATTTGCAAAGTTTACTAATAATAATAATATTAAAACTTTATTGAATTTTGAAATCTATTAAAACTAAAATTTTATCAAAATTTTAATTAACAATTAGTATATAATTTATTGAAACTTTACCAAAATATTTTTTGAATTATTAATTTTTAATAAATTAATAGATAACACAAAATTTACAAAATTTTTTATATTAATTCATATTTTATTTTACTAATATTATATAATATTATTATTTTATATAGTTTTAAGCTTTGTTATAGTTAAAACATGTGAATAACATATAATATTAAATTAATTGAAAGAATTTTATAAATTAACTTTAAATAAAAAAGAAAATATAAATATTTAAAGTTAAGTAATATATATTTATTTATTGCTCAGCTAAAATTATAACTTTGTAATTAAGACAAAAAATTATTAAAAATTAAAAGAAATATAACAAAATTCAAATTCAATTTCTTTATTTGTCTATTTTTCTAAGCTAAGATATATGCAATATTTATAAATAAATTATAAAATTCAAACTTTTAATAAGCTTATAGATTGAATTAAATTGTGAACTAAAATTCAAATCAAAATTCAAACTGAATTTCAAATTGAATTTCTAATTGAAATTTGAATAAAAATTCAAAATTCAAATATTAATTAAAAATATAATTGTTCAATAAAATTATTTTAAATATTAATATTATAAAATATAAAAAAATATAAAAATAAATATATAAAATATTGAATTATAATAATAGTTATTTATTGGTAAGTTCATTATATTCAAAGTATTAAATATGTATTATTTTTATTTTAGTTTTTTTTAAAATTTATAATAAATTAACAATATTTTTTCAATAATTAATTTTCAATAATAAATTATTTTATATAACAAAATATTAGATTGTTATTATTGTTATTGTAATAATTTTTATTAAATATAAATTTTCTATATTATATATTGTTATAATTTATTTTAAAAATAATATTTAATAATAATAAACAATTATAAATAAAAATAAAAATTAATTAACAAAAATATATTAATAAGAAAATTTACATTATAAAATATTTTTTATATAAGTTTTGAGCTTTGCTAAAAAATAAATATAAAAAAATAAATAAAAATAACAAAATAAAATACTAAATAATAAATATCGATAATTAAAGTTCACTATTAAATATTTCTTCGTTATTAAATATTGTTTTATCAATATTTTGTTTTATGAAATTACAATATTCAATAATTTTTTTTTTCAAATTATCGCTGGATCTTTGATCAATTTTTCCAATAATGCTTGAAGTAAAATACTTATCTATTCCTTTATGCAAAAGTATTTCTTTATAATCTTGAAAGTATTTATAAATTCTTAATGCCATGATACCTTTTTGCTTATAATTAATAGCAGATATATTTTGTTTGAATAATTGTTGTACTTTCGCATTTTGAGATCTTTGATTTAATCCAATAGTGAGATCATTAAGTATTCTTCCAATTTCAAAATAAACAGAAGTTATTGTATACTGATTATTCATCAAGTCATTAGAATATATTGTCAAGGATTGTTCATTGGATGGTAGACTTGGTGGTATATTAAATTGTTTTTGTTGTAAAACAATTTGAAGTCCATTAATTATTTTTTTTTCAAAAGATGTTAAAAGATTTTTTGATAATGTTGATGTTGATATTTCTGGTATAGTTTCAATAGTTTCAATATCTTCTATATGTTGAAATAAGATATTAAAGTCAATAATAGTTGAATAATATAATTCATTATTATCAACTTCTACTTTTAATCCAGGATAATGTTGATTGATTTTGTTGAGTAATTCATTTGCAGCTTGTTGAATTTCTACTGGAATATTTTCTGATTCAATAAAAAAAAACATAATATATAAAAAAACAAAATATATTTTTGATGTGATTTTTAAATAATGAAAATAATATATTTATATTATTATTAGTTTAATAATATAAAGATATTTAAAAATAATAAAAATGATAATATTTAATTTGAAAATTGAATTAAATACAAGCAAAATATAACTAAGATAAAAATATAATTTTTATCTAGTAAATATTGCTTCATTAAGAGTTTTTATGATAACTTTGATATTATTTAATCAAAGAAAAATTGAGCAAGAAAAAGAATAAGAGAAAGAGAAAGAATAAAAGAAAAAATAAGAAAAAGAGAAAGAATAAGAATAAGAAAAAGAGAAAGAATAAGAGAAAAAAAAAGAGAAAAAAAAACTCTTATTATTTTACTTTAATTTACATGCTATATTTATAACATAAAAAGAAAACACAATATTACATTATTACAATAAATTAATTGGTTCTTTATTATAATTACAAAAAGAGTTAAAATACGAATTATTTGTGTAAGATAAAGTACCAATAATATAATTGCACTATATTACGTGTAATATTCTTGTTATACAAATATGAAACATTTTTATTGTAATCACAAAAAAATTGATAAGGGGTAAAATGCGAGTTACATGTATAATTGTGTATTATTATACTAAAATGAACAATATTACGTTATTATTATGAATTAATTGGTTCTTTATTGTAATTACAAAAAGAATAAAATGTGGCTTACATGTGTAATTGTGTGTTAAATAAAATACCAATAACACATGTAATAAAAATGATGTGATAGATAATAAAAATGAAGAATTAATCATGTAAAGATAATAGAAAGTAATATCCTTGTTATCCAAATATGAAAAATAAATGAGATAAAAATAGAATAGTTATAAGAAAATGATGTGATAGATAATAAAAATGAAAAAACATGAAGATGATAGAAATAGCAGAATGCTGCAATATTAATAGTTCCACAAGCCATTCATTAATGCCACATTTTGGGGTTTCTTTTGGCATTGCCTCTTTTCTTTTCCTGTCTTATTTTTGTAGGTTACTTCGCGATATTGTCCGTTCCGGCTGGACGACACGTTACTTTCTCACAGTGATGTCAGTTAAACATTTCTAGGCCGGAGCTACTGGAATTTCAGGTTGAAGTCGTTGCCGGTGTTGTCGCGTCTGTGGTGTGCCGCTGGTTTCCTTTGGTGAGTTTTTCTTTCTTTTATTCCAGCTTTCCTTTATTTTCGTTGTTGGTTACTATTGACCAACTTTTCTTTTTGGGCGGTTGCATGTCACCGCGTAGCTTTTGCTGATTGCTTAATGATACCGATTACTCCAACTAATCTATTCCTTTAGGTGTCGCTAGCTTCATAGAAGATAAAATATTTTGATATTCCGTAGATGTGTATGTAATGAACCACTTATAAATGTTAGTGGTCTGTACACATGTCGTGTAGCGTCATGTGAAACATAATTTTCACCATGACGTAGTAGCAAAAAAACGGAATATCGATGTAGGCAATTTAGGAGATTATAGTGGACGAGGAACTTCCACTTGATATTGACTTTGAAAACGAACCAGATGGATTGGAATATTATATCAGAAAATTAGGGATTCATGATCTAGGAAATAATTCTCATAGTAGAACAGCGTCAACTTTTTCAAAAGCTGAAGTCAAGCCAACAGAATCGCGAAAAGAAATCATCTCTGAGATTTACTACAAATGAAATCGACGATGTCGTGAAAAATCATCGTCATTCACTTCGCGACCTAAGTGACTTTACCAAAACTTTTAGCTGACTTTGCTCTTGTCTTCAATGCCAATAATGACATGGGTGGTGCCCCCGAAAATTCTGAAAAAGCATTTGAGGAATATTTTGAGAAATTGCATGGCTTTTAGGACAAAGATTCGAAGTTATTCAAGAGTTACTTCATACTATTTATCAACTTTCCCAACGATAATATTTCCTTCATCATCCACAAAATTAACTTCATCCATCTCCTTAGGTAAGTGTCGTTTCTTGGGGGGGGGGGGGGGGGATCAGCGCAAATGTCAGGTTATAAATAATATATTCCTAATATATTATTTGTCAGGTTGGGAGAGGGTAAGCCTCATAATAAATGGAAATCACCTGATAAAAGACACTCCCCTTAATTAGTTATCCTGGTTTTTGATCGACCAACAGTAAAATTTATTTTGAACAGACAAAATTTTCAATTAATTTATCCCTTTTAATCTTTTTACACTTTATGAATCACATACATTGTTACTTCGGAATTAAAGTGAATATTAAGGTTGAATATGTGATTATATTAATTTTTATACTTAATTCCCTTTTGTATTATTCAAAATTTTATTTTCGATTTCTGTTGGACAACATTTACATTTACCTTAGACTCTTTTAAGCATGCGATAACCAGAGAATCGAGCTTTGTTGATTAAAAATAAACTGTAGCCATCGATCGATATCACAAAAAAAAGGATTATTATCCGATGGCGTTAATAAAGAAACAAAGTAATTATAATCTCGAAAAATGGACATTTTTCTTTCTTATTCTCCATTTATATTTTAAATATTATTGGAATAATTAATATTTGAGAAAATATTGGAGATAATAGAATGGGTCTAGAGTTATTGTGGTGCGAGATGCATTTTCTGCTGATTAGGTTTATATTTGTTTTGGTTTCTAACGCTAATCGTTAATGATGCGAAGGAGCAACTGCTCTATGTTTTCCTATCCTCTACTTATATTCTTAGAATTTCTACATTTCAATGTACGATAGAATTTTTAGATGATTTTATCTTGGGAGTTCTGTTTGTGATATCTAATATGATGCGTATTGCTAAAAAAACTGGTCTTTGCTGCAAACAGCTCTATAGTTTTGTGGAACCAGTTGGAGTTTATATATTTGCCGCATTTATCATACTTGTGATAAAAAATAAACATGTCAAGCGCACAAGAGTTTTTCACAAAAGCAAACGATGCATTCTTCGCGGATGACTTTGACGAAGCGGTAGACCTGTACAATCGTGCCATTGAATTAGACGCGACTAATGCTGAATATCTTCTAAAAAGGTATTTTATTTTTATCTCGAATGTGGTTTGAACAAGTCTCCATTTCTATTTCTTACCTCATATCATACATAAAGGTCTGCTGCATTGGTAAAATTGAATAAGAATAAAGAAGCGCTAGCGGATGCCGAAAAAGCTTTACATGTATCCGAAGAAAGCCAAAATCAAGCTTCGATTGCAAAAGCGTTTTTACATAAAGGGCGAGTGAAAGTCAGAATTTTTGTTTTTGTGACATTGTATGCGTTTATTAACAATATTACGCGTGTATTCGATCGAATAGCATTGCTTCTTTTGCTCTCAAGGATTATCATATAGCGAAAAAATCGTTCGATCACTCAAAAGAATTAAATCCGAATGAGAGATTATTGGTGACTTGGATCGAAAAAGTTGACGCGGAATTGGCAAAGAGTAAATTATTCTTGTTTTATTGTAGTAGACGCAAATAATTAGATTGAGTTAAAAAGTACTTTTTAAACCAGCGGCCACTCCACCAATGGCTGTAAATTCGACACCGCAAAATTTTTTGTCTCAAAGTCGCGTCCGGTACTTAAATTCTTTAGCTTCCCATTGATTATACGTGTTGCTTGATAAAAGATATTAAGCATTATCATTGTTACGATTAATAGGCATGAATGGTATCAAAATGAAAATTACGTGACTATTAGCATATTTATCAAGAATGTAAAAAAAGAAGCGGTCAAAGTTGAAATTGAGAAGCGTTTGGTATGATGATCTTTTGGTTTTTGTTTTATCTGAAAATTCTATAGACTTATTTCGTTTATTCATATTTTAGATTTCCGTTTCTGTTCAATTACCAATCAGTGGCTCTGATTATTCCCTTGAACTCGATCCTTTAGCGCATGAAATTATTCCAAGTGAGAGTAAATACGAAGTTCTTTCCACCAAAATTGAAATCAAATTGAAAAAGGCACAAGGTGGCGTGAAATGGGGTGTACTCGAAGGAGAAGATTCTCTTACCGGCACCATCAGTAGTGGTGATGGTAATTATTATCATTGTTTTGATGGTTTATTTGATTCTTACTTAAACTGATTAATTAATTCATAATGTTAGGCAAATTAACGTATCCATCGTCAGCACGAAAAGCTAAAAATTGGGATGAATTAGAACGAGAAATCTCCAAAGAAAAAGAAAAACCGGAAGGAGAAGAAGCCCTAAATGTATTATTTCAACAAATCTATGGTAATGCGGATGATGATACAAGAAAAGCAATGCTAAAAAGTTATACCGAAAGTAGTGGCACGTGTCTTAGTACAAACTGGAGCGAGGTAAAAAAGGGAAAAGTGGAGACAAAGGCTCCAGATGGAATGGTCGCGAAAAAGGTACTGTTAAAAGTTTCACCTTTTCAAATTTCATTTTTTTTGTATTTCCGTTTGCTAACCAAACTTTAAATTAAACGCGTTAGTGGGGAGCATGAGTTGATGATCATAGTTGTCTAAATTAAAATCTAGAATACAAATAAATATTTGTTCGTATTCTCATCTAGATTTTTTAATTACATACAAAAAGAATCACTGTTGCACGTGATTTACATTAATCTATTACTATAAACCAATTTGTTTTATTAAACCTCGAGCAAGAGCAATCTCTGCGTTTAGTATTCCACTTCCAGCTGCACCCAAGACAGTATTATGAACCAACAATGTAAACTTTATATCCAATACATTACAAGTTCTTACACGTCCAACAGTCACGCTATACCCATTACCGTTATCCCTGTCTAATCTCGGTTGTGGTCGATCCTTTTCAGGATTAACGATAATTGATTTTGGCGGGGCCGAGTAGCATCCGATCTGGTTTGCTATTGATTCATAATTTTCCAGAGCATGTGTCACTTGTTCCGGTGAAGGAGGAGGTTGATTCTTGAATTTGATAGAAACACATTCCAAATGCCCATCGATCACCGGAACACGATTGCAAGTGGCGGATACTCGGGTTTCTGGTAATAAATCAAATGCAGTTCCATCTGCATTAATCTCTCCGAGAATTTTTAATGTTTCCCATTCCATTTTCTCCTCTTCACCCGAAATAAAGGGGACAATATTATCAAAAATATCGAGAGATGAAACCCCTGGGTATCCTGCACCTGAAATCGCTTGCATTGTGTGGACAATCACCGATTCTAATGGACCAAAAGTGTCTATAAGAGGCTTTAATGCGACTACGAGACCAGTAGTGGAACAATTGGCATTTGTAACTAAGAATCCTTTCTTTAAGGAACGAAGCTTTCTTTGATATGGGATAATACTAAAATGGGCTGCATTTACTGTTGGTACAATAAGTGGTACAGATGGATCGCGTCGATAATTCTTTGCATTTGAAAAAACTGCAAGATCTGCTTTTAAAAATTCCATTTCTACCAAAAGATCAATAAAAAAAATCAATAACGATCCGCGTGTTTAACCTAGATGAAAGGCTACATATAATACCAATATCTCCAGCTACATCAGCATCAAGCCCAGAAAAAACGACATCACATTCTTTAAAGTATTCAGGTTTACACTGAGATACCAACATATTTTCGACATTTTCTGGTATCGGAATAGTCATTTTCCATTTTGTCGTGTCAAAGTATCTTTTACCTGCAGAACGAGGTGAGGCACCGATAGCGTGTACGATAAATTGTGGATGATTGGATAAAAGAATGACGAAGCGTTGTCCTACTGTGCCAGTAGCTCCTAATATTCCTGCTTTGAGTTTTGCCGACATTGAGGATCAAAAGCAAAAAAGAAGTCGATCAAGATTGTCGGGCCGTTTATATGTAAAGTGTAACAGAAGTACTAAATAAAGTTAGATTTGTCAATCTGACATAATTCTGTAATTTGGGCCAGACAAGATTTTAATTTTGCGGAATTATATAACGATAACAATTACGTAATATGAAAACACATCTTCATTTCCATTGGTTAATAATGCATGTCAACTTCATGGTGCTGGATATAATAACGTGATTGGGTATGAAAACTTGTTACAATAACGAGATATTATCTTAAAGAGTGTTACTGTAACGAGCGCTCACTGTGTATATAGTGGGGGACAGTAATAAGATATCCAATACTGCCAATTTTGAATTGTAGATTATATATAATAATCAATCTGACCAATCAGAACTCTTTATTTTTATAATATAATAAAAGAAAATTAATAAAAAAGATAAATTAATTTTTTTTTTAAGTGGATATCAAAGCCCTTCATTGAACTAGCCAGTATAATGAGATTCCGGTGTATACCGGCGTTACTAAGTAGCAGTCGATGTAAGCCAATAATGAAATATGACTTCGCAAAATAAAATAAGTAAATATTTCATTCCCCATTTTTTCGACTAGACTAATTAGGAATATCATTCCATTCTTAAATCGCCTGATTCTTGGTTTTTGCTTTTCTAAAAAAATATCGCGTCTTACCAGTCAACGTGACGTAGCGCGCATTGGTAAGTTGAGATCTTAATTTCAACCAATCAGATCACAGCATATAAGAAGCATTCAGTAGGATTTCACTGAAACCGGTATAGTGTCTGTATTAGTAATTCGGTATAAAAGCCGACTTGGGTGTATGCGGCGCCGCTGTAAACGACTTTGACTGTACTGTCCCCCGCTGTAGTAAACGTAATGATTATACATCGTGCATAGATTAAATCATATTTGTCGACAATTGTACTATATTATTTATTACCTTGATCATTAAAAAAAATCTTCACGCATCGAAAACATGAAATTGATTTCTGCACAAGAGGTAGAAAAACACAATAAAAAGGAAGATTGCTGGGTAATTATTCATGGAAAAGTCTATGATCTTACCGCTTTTCTTCCCGAGCATCCTGGCGGACAAAATGTTATTCTTAAACAAGCCGGTAAAGATGCTACCGCCGCATTTGATCAGATTCATCCGAGAGATATTATCGATCAATATCTTTCACCTGAAGTGTGTCTTGGCTCTGTTGACCCGGCGACAGTCGTTCAAACCGTCAAAGTAGAAACGGAAGAGGAGAAACTTCGTCGTAAAGTCAACGAAAAGAAACCATCATTAATTGAAATGCTTAATGCATATGATTTTGAGGCAGTTGCTTCGCAGGTATTAACTGCAGAAGCCTGGGCTTATTACAGTTCTGGATCTGACGATGAAATTACATTGCGCGAAAATCAGAACGCGTTTCATCGTATTTGGCTACGACCAAGAGTAATGATCGACGTAACAAATGTTGATATGAGCACGAAATTACTTGGTTATGATTCCTCATTTCCAGTCTATATTTCGGCCACTGCATTAGGGAAATTAGGTCATCCTGAAGGGGAAGTTGTATTAACTCGAGCCGCAAACACACAGAAGATTGTTCAAATGTTACCAACGTTAGCATCTTGTTCACTTGGCGAGATGACGAACGCACGTGGAAAAGATCAAATCCAATTCTTTCAATTATACGTAAATCGTGATCGTGCAGTCACGGAACGAGTAGTGAGATCTGCCGAGGAAAAAGGATGTAAAGCATTATTTATCACAGTTGATGCGCCACAATTGGGTAAACGCGAAAAAGATATGCGAGTTAAATTTATTGCTGATCCACCAGATATACAAGATGAAAAATCTGTAAGACGTAATTTAGGTGCAGCATACGCAATATCAGCTTTTATTGATACAGCTCTGAATTGGAACGATTTGGAATGGTTTAAATCAATTACTTCTATGCCGATTCTATTAAAAGGAATTCAAACAGCAGAAGATGCAGTTTTGGCTGCTAGACATGGATGTGCTGGTATTGTGGTCTCCAATCATGGAGGTCGTCAATTAGATTTTGGTCGATCAGGAATCGAAATACTCCCCGAAGTTGTGCATGCATTAAAAAACGCGGGTTACGAGGGTAAACTAGAGATTTATGTGGATGGTGGGGTACGTCGAGGCTCTGATATATTTAAAGCGATTGCATTAGGTGCCAAAGCTGTTGGAATTGGTCGACCCTCGTTATATGCGATGTCTGCTTACGGACAACCAGGCGTTGAGAGATTACTGCAATTACTGAAGGATGAATTGGAGATGACAATGCGTCTTGCCGGTGCCAAATCTTTGGCGGATATTCGACCAGAGATGGTTGATATTCGAAATCTTCATGATCATGTGTTTACACCCAAAAATTATTTGATGTCTAATGTGTATGATAGGTTGACTCCAAGGAAAGCAAAGTTGTAATAGTATTCTATTCATTTTGTGAGATTCTATTTTATAACAAACATATCATTGTCCATTTTTCAAATCATGAGAGGTCACATGACCTCAGAAATATAAGATGCGTAAAATCAATAATAATTATTGTTATGGCCAAAAAATTCTGGAAGCGAAATTTGAACTTGAAAAAAAAACTCAGCCTGAAAATTCAACCAATAGCAAAACCACCCGTAGAACCTGGACCACCAGAAAGAATAACAATCCAAACAAAAAAAAAGAAGCATCCAGCTCCAGCACTCGTATTTTCCAATCTGATAACCCCCAAGGTTTCTATACCAAAAATCACTCAAGTCTTACCACCTGTTTCTCCTCTTGTGCTGCCTCAGAGTCTTTCTCAGGGTCTTTCTCGTAACAAAAGACAGCAACGATCGCTTACGAAGCTTTTTAAAAAATTAGCACCGAGGCCAAAAACCCGTTTGCCCGAGAATTTCAACTCAATTCTTACCTATCAATTACCGAAACGTAAAAGATTATTCTCGAAAAAACGAATGCATAAATTAGAATTTGCAGAAGAACACCCAAAAGATGAGTTCCCAGAGTTCTATTGCTGCTATTTGACTAGGTCGCTGCAGCCAAAGTATACTGATTATGTGTATATTGGTGGGAATATTTTTATTCTGAACTAATGAAACAATTCATAAGATTATTCTAAATATTTAATTCTATAAATAGGTACGACCCCAGACCCAATTCGTCGTTTACGGCAACATAATGGAGAATTGGCAGGGGGTGCGGCGCGGACCGTGTCTAGGCGACCTTGGACATATGTATTATTTGTATACGGTTTTCCCTCTTCACGAGCCGCAACTCAATTTGAATGGGCTTGGCAACAGGAAGGAAAATCACGTCACTTTACTACTAATAATAAGAGTAAGAGGCGATCCATGCACAAACTATCTAGAAAAATCAGTGCATTAATGGAAATGATGCAATTTCGGTACTTTTGTCGATGGCCATTGAAATTGCATATTGTCGAGTCTGATGTCGAGAAGCAACTCGACTTCACAAAGTTTCCAAAACATGTCACGATTACTTACGGACCCGTGGAGAAACTGTCGTATACATTTGCTGACAAAGGTTTAACAAGAGGTGAACTATAGATAATTGCAATCACAAATTTATTATTATTAATTAATATTGATTTTGATATTCGTACGTATGTTTAAGCTCGATTACGTGCTCAAATATTCGAGAATCACGAATATCATAGAGAACAAAATACTCCATGTTGTGTTTGTCATCTGCCGATTGATTATGCGGTTTGATCATTTTACTGCTGTTATGAGTGAGCTTGATTATTTTTATCAAGGTGGATTTCTTATTTTTTATTTGTCTGTTAGGCACCTGATGAGTACATGTCATGTCTCCATACTGTCTCTTCGTCATCTATCTTCAATTCATCGAAGGCTTGTAAAATGACCGGTCACGTAATTTGCTTGGCAAAAGATTTTTTATTGGAGGAAAAGAATCAACTGTTGCCAGTCTCTGGAAATTGTCCGAAATGCAAAAACCCACTTCTATGGGCAGATTTAATTTATCATAAATCAGAACGTAAACAAGAAGTCGATGCGAATCTGATTTATCAAAAAGCAGTCTTAAAGAATCGTTTCGTTGATTAAAGAATATTTCTGGTGAAATTTAATATGTATAATATTTCTTTTAAAGATTATAATAATTTAAGTGATAAATTAGCAAACAATAATAAACGAGAATCAGAACTCTATAACACCAGGTATAATAATTCGTTCCAATTTTTTACGTATCCCACTCAAAATTTCATTAAATTTGGCTTCTAATTGATCGTCGTTGTAAAATGACGCTGTCGACGAAGCAAGAGTGTCATACTGATTATGGACATGTTGGTATGATCCAACGATTTTATTTGATTGTCGTGTTTCAAGGTATTTGATTAATTTGTCTAGTTCTTGTTTGAAACCTTGATCTAGATTTATTTGTATTTTTTAGTATTTTAGGACAATGATCATTTTAGGTAACTAATTAAACAGACATTACTTACTAATTTCATCAATATCCATCATATTCGACAAACTATGAGGCGGATCACCATTATTGCTGAACATCCTAGAAAAATCCAATAATCGCCTTAGCATGGCTTCTTCCGTTTGCAATAGAGTTTGAAAAGAATTGCATGAAATTTTTAATTCGACTGGTATCACGTCAGTTCGAATATCATTAACTTTAATATGATACAATTGATCAATTCATTAATTAATTCATGGACTTTTTCTGATACTGAAAGCGATTAACTACCTTTCCTTAAAAATTACCTTTACTTAAATTAAAAGTCACCGGCTCCAAACTAAAAGGTGTAATAAAGACAGCATATTCCGTGCTTTTTATAATTTCTTTAAGTTGGTCACTGGATAAAAATTCACACTTCATTAACTGGTAAATAAAAATTCAAAGAAAATCCTTCAAATTATAATACATACTTTGGAGTATTTTCCCCTAAAAGCATCGATAAACATAACTTAAATGAATCGTCCGGAGAAGCAACGTGTCTTTCTCCTTTTCCATTCTCCAAATTGCTTGAGCCAATTTGGAAATTGATGAATACAGTCCCAAGTCGTAGTGACATGAAAAGATCTTTTAGAGATAGTGGGGTATCCTATCAAGAGAATAAGTGAACCGCTTTTTCTAGACATATCTAAAATACCATGATTACCTCTAGTTTGTTGTGCTTTGTCAATCGATCAAGTAGAGCTTCAAAAGTTTCCACGAATTCTTTTCTTGTCGCGAAAAAATTACCATCCATTGGAGCATTATATCGAGGAATCGAGTTTCCTATTGCAAAATGACGTCGTTGTTGTATCTGTTTTATAATGTTTTCTGGACATGGTCTAATAAAGTCCAATATATCGTAACATAGGTTCTGTATCGGAAAGTAAATCTGTTTTGCTTTAAATAAAATGATATTAATATTAAATACTGAACAAAAAATATATAGGATTTTATATACTCACATTTTATGTCAGCACTGCTTTCTGATGAAGAGGAAAATGAGAAGTCGAAATTCAATCCGACAGAGATCGAAATGGGAAATTGAAAACGACGTAAGTTTACTTCGACATCCTTTTCCCTTCAATAAGCAAAGATAAATCAAATTGTTAACAACAATTATCATGAAACTGTTCAAGTTATCTGAACTCACCAAACAGAATTTGGGACCATATCCAATAATGGAACAGAATATGATAGAATAGGATCAGAATTATTATATTTATTCTGCATTTTGACCAACACTGTATCAAGGTAATAAATTAGTGGAAAAAGACTAATGAAATAAACGAATAATAATCAATGATATTCAATATCAATAATAATCAACATACATGACCATTCTTGATTCCAATTTATCGCTAATCTACTCAATAATTTCACCTTTAAGTAAGTACGCTGTACTACTGATCCGGTTAAAGAAGTTGATATTGTCATTGGATGGCAATCGCAGACGAAAAGATTTTTTTTATTGTTCAAATTCTTTGCTCGATTTTTACGAAGTAATCTCAATTCACATATATCCAGATTTCGCGTCATAATTGCAGAGTTCAATTCCTACTCAATATGCCAAATTGATGATTGATTGATTGCTTGATTAGTTAAGCAGTGAATACACGTTCACAGTAATTTAATACCTTTTGAATTATTTCTAAGTCTCTCTGTTTCGCAGAACATTCACTGATACTTTCAATCTGTTTCTTCAATGCATTTCTTATCTCAGATGTCGATAATTTGAAATGAGGGTTCTTTTGTGGACTGCCGAATAGAACTGAACCGATTAGAAATTGTTTTCAATTAAAAAATTATCGGATGTTATTTGAATAATATTCTTTGACAGTTAAACACTTGCTCATTTTCAATGGTCAATGTATTTCGAATCAATTTTCCATCTTTTGATATTGCAAATAATCTCCCGTTGTCATTTGAATTCCTCGAGTAGCACAGGTCAAGCATGTTTTTTGGGATATCAATAGATTTACTGTTAATTGGGGCCAATTTTCCTAAAGAATGTAATAAATTGAATGAATTGAATTTGATTCATTATTAATGATCAAAAAATCAAAGTGTCAATTACCGTCAATAATCACATGATAAGAAAAATCAAGATACATTGTGCGTCCATCCTTAACGGCTAATGTTAATCGATTCTAATTATCAAAAAAAAAAACACACAATTTAATCTATTGATCCAGCATAAAATCAATGGATAAATAATTTTCATACCATGTAAAGAGTAGACGAGTATACAGGACCAGGAACATAATATTCTCTAAATAATACTTTTTCTTGGGAGTTTAGATCATTCTCTTTGACAAAAAGCAATTTAATTGTTCCCTGAGCTCTAATTAATAACAAATAGAGATTAGTATATTAAAGATTCAATTAAAAGAAGATGCTAACACGTACCCCACCAAAATCATTGCATTATGAGCAATCACATTAACATTACTGTTCGATGCGCTTGTATTTTCATGATTTATATGTAACGTATAGATCGCGTTCATCGGTTCCTATTATGATATATAATTAGTAAATTTTAAGTATGTAACGCATCAATCATTTGATTAAATGACTAACAATAGTTCACTAACATCCATGGAAGCGAACGGAATTGGATCTGGTGTGTCAAAAACTAGTGGCTGATAAGATACCCATCCTTTTGATGTTCCCGTTATTAAGATATCTGTTTGATCAGTAATCATCGGATGGTATGCGCTGTTTTTATCATTATCGTTAATGTTAGTATATATCGGTTAATTCAATTGATCCCCCCTTCCCAGTGAATTAGCTAACTCACTCTCCAGAACACAATAACTCATTAAAAACGTCCAAGGTGATAAAGTTCTGATAATCCTGATTCAAGTAGTTCCCATTTCCACGAGCCAATAACGGACGAAGTAAATATAAAGTCAACGAATAATCATAAGAATTATTTGAAATAGTCACTAAATGGATTAAATCAGTCGAAAAGGATATCAATTAGCAGACATGTGAGTTTCTCTTCTTGGTTGATCGGTTTATGAGGGCGATATAAAACTTGATTGTTTGGCAGTTGATTGATTGTTGAGATAAACACTAATTCTCCATTTAGACAACAAATTAATAGACCACTAACATCGGCGAGGATGATTGGATGTATTTTGCAAATACCAATCTTTGAATTATTAAATGAAATTTTAATTTTCGCCTGATAATAAGATGAGTTTAGCCACCGGATAGATAAAGAAAATCAAGCTTGCCTTTTTATAAATTTGATGTTCACTTCGAACATTTGTTATGATCGGCGGTGAAAATAAAGTTCGTGATGAATTTGTGTGATTATCGTTTAAATTATTAGATTTGGCATCAGTATCAAAACGTCGTTTATTTCTTTGTACGGGTGTTTGAATTCTCCAAACTGAGCCATCGGCAGTTGATACCAATATATACTTTTGCTTATTATTCATATTTGAGTTGTTATTATTCACGACGTTAGGCGAGTACAAGGTATCAAGTGAAAAATCGACCAGTTCTGCCGGAAACTTCCAAACTTCTTTCAATGAATTATTATAAAACACATGTAAAGAGTCAGGGTGCACTCGTATTGCAAGCCCATCTTCTTCAACTGATTTTATTACTGTTGAACTATTGCCAGCAATAAGTGGCGGGAGAATAAATGTCTTCTCTATTCTTGTTTCTAGAGACATTTCGTAGAGGGTGAATAAAATTGATAGTCATTAATACGCGTAAATCATTTAAATCGCGTCTTATTTTAGTCAAACTACTGTCGAGAAAATAAATTATATGTTTTTTATAAAAAAAAAATAGTGAGCAATAACAAATATTCACAATAATTATATTAATTATGATAAAGTCATACAAGCAAAGCTCTAAGTTTTAGTCTATTATTGATCTGCGTGTGTGTATTATCAACGAAAATGATCAAGATATTTTTATTATATGAAATGCCTAGATAGAGAAACGACTAAACGACTCTACTTTTCCCTCCATCATATGTTTCAGATTTATAAAACTCCCAATCCGCCTGAATTCCCTATTACATCAGCTTTATACTCATCTGCGGTCTTTCTTCGTCGTGCTTTATTAATAAACATTGGCCCATCACCAGCTGCGAAAGCCGAGGAAACATTAGTCGCGGCAAAAGGATATGCAACCTTTGGTTTATTGTGGTTTATTATTGGTTGTGAAAACGTTACTGAGGACTTTGATAAAGGAGATGGATTATGTCCACGATTTGTCGGACTATAAGAGTTGAATTCACGCTGATTTTGAAGATGACTACTATTATTACTTGCATTATTGTCGTTGTTTTTGTTGTTAATATTTCCCGAGCTCTTTTCTAATTGTTTCATCCAAAAAATCATTTTACTTGGACTGTTAATCACTTCCATCGTTTCAATACGTCGAATCCATTCAATTCCTGCTTTATCGCTTGCGTGATTTTCAAATCTATGAACAGCTTGGTATTTTTCGGCGTGTGGGAAAGGTAGAATTGGTTGTGTTGCGTTCGAATACATCGGAGTCGTTATTCCTTTTGTCATCACCTTATTTGCATTATTTGCATTAGAGAATTTCGTAACAGAAGATCGCTTCGATGATTTTCCATTAGCTGTCCACCTCAATATCATTCGGAAATTCATCATCGCTCGCTCGACAAATTCAACACTTGTCATATAATATTCTTCGAATTGTTCGCTGTTTTTCTCGAACCAATCGACTAACCGCTGCATGAGTGCCAATTCCAAGAACGCATTTACGAATGGAATTGTAAGCAGGAATGGTTCTTTATCGAACAATACTGTGTGTGAAAGATCTTCCACGTAGACGTTGTACCAAGATCCGGATTTAAGTTCATGGTCGATCGGATCAAATAATTTTTCGGGGAGAGCGATGTTCATGGCGATTGGTTGATGAGGTTGAGGAAGTTGCGAATAGACACTTAATGTCCCGTCATTCTCCCAGAAGTTTGATGAAGAAGTTCGAAGGACTTGTTGTTCAGTTTCACGTGTGAATGGATATTGACCTATGCCCAGGATAAGAGAGAATATTGCGTTTGGCCAATTACGCCAGCTGAATCGAGGCTAATAATCGAATTGATCATTGAATCAATATCTTTATTAAATCAATCAATCGATCGATCGATCAATCAATTAGTAAAACTTACCCAATGATATCCCGTCTCTCTTGATCTCCATGATTGACCAGTGGTGACATAATTAATGTAAACAACTCCGGGATCTAAATGTTGTCGTTTCCAATCCTCTGCTGCGTATCTCGATCTAGTGCCCTCAACGGATAAATCAAACAAAAAATTATCACCACAACGCGTAAGAGGACTTCTTGCACAAAGAGAGTTCCATAAAGTTTGTTCCCCTCCTTCTTTCGATCTAGCTAATGGCCATTTGTCATTCAATTTGAAGCCAAAAAGTGTATCCAAGAACGTGAAGTAACAGATTAAGTGGATAAGAATCCAGAAAAAATGGAGTGGCGAAAACTCGGAAACGAATGTTTTTGTTCCGGGAACGAGACCAAGGATATACGGAAGCACCGAGCCACGATGAGGAGCAGATAGACAGACTACAGCTTTAACCCAATTTCCTGATGTAGATTTGCCAAAGTAGTCCGTGGAAATAAGATGCTGTAAATAATGAGCAACTGTACCGCCGGTTCCTTTTCCTATTTAAGAAAAGCGAAGATATTTATTAATGGATCATAACCCGTGGCTTGTATCATTTAACTATCGTTATCACTATCAACAATTACCGATTAATACAATTGGATTGTCGGCATTCCATTCGGGGAAAAGTCCTTCTTCGTATTTTTCACCATATCGTTTATGTGCACACATTGAAGAATGCGACTGTCCATAATCCTATTCATAATTCGGGAAATTTGATAAGTTTTTTCTCTTGTGGACATTGATTAATTGATAATACATACCACTTGTCCCCCTATTAACTGATAGAATGTCTCTACGGCTCTATCATGAATCGACTATTTGAAATAAATTCGATTAATATCAATACAACAAACGAGACACGCATAAAATATAAGAACACTTACTCCCAATGAATTTGTACTAACGACAATTGGATCCTCCACGATATAACGAACATCACGCCAGTTATCCACAATCGTCAATTCACGGCCACCTGGAAGTGGTATGCTAAGAGAATCAGGGTAGAGTCCCGAAATCAAAACACAAGTATCACTTTGTTCCCCGTCAAATTGAATTTTGACATCTTGTGGTATTTGATATGTTTTTGCCATTTGACTTTGAGGCGTTCGTAAGTTTTGAAAAGAGTTCATGTGCTGCAGTCCATTATAAGAGTGAGTAGTATTTTGATTGTTGCTGATGGCATTGGGTGAATTGTTATCGTCTTGATAAGGTTCTGCAGAATAAGGTTCTTCTTCCTCTTGTTGCTGTGCGGCAGCCTGTGCTTCAACCTGTGCGTGTTTTTGTGCTAACCATTGTTGCCCTTGAAGGTTATGTTGTTTTTTCAAGTGTTTCTTTGAGAACACTGAAAACATTATGACAAGTTTGTCTATTTCTTCTTTATTTATTTATTGTTTATTATTAATTATTCCAGATTAGTTCTTTTGTTCAGGTGATTTCTTCCCTTGGTTCGGGTGGTCGGTCGTAAGAAAAAAGTTTACCTCGCGTTATATATCGTATGCACTTTGATATCACTCGAAATATCTGATATGGTTAAAGCGCAGTGAAAAATTCAAAGTCAATTAGGACGTAAAGTTTTTTTGGCTTATTTATTTATTTATCTGTGTGTGTGTATGTGCATATAAATCGTGTACTTTTGTGTGTGACCAAACGAAGATAATAATGATTTCTGCGTGTCCATTAGTTATTATCAGTTTTTCATATTACCTTTATATATATATTTTTTTTTGTTGTTTTCCGTTGTTAGTTTTATGCTTGTCGCTATTTCGTAATGTTATTCTTAATGTGAAAAAAATACATATGTATATATGTGTGTATGTGTGTGTATATATATATATATATGTACGAGAAGTAAGGGAAGTTTTTTTTATATTTTTTGTTTTTTTTCCTTCTTCGTCTAATTATTAAAAGAAAAAAAGACAGAAAACAAAAAATCCAATTACCCGATACTTAATAAATATGTGAGGTTAGTATGCCGATTGATAGTTATATGGATGGGGGTGTTAATTCAAATGGGAATTAGTGCGTATATTGATAAAGAGGGGCGAGTTTGATGATGGATATTTGGATCGGAAGGTAGGAATTAACAGTAATATCATGTGTCAAGCTATCGAATTAGGATTTTCAAATGTTGAATTTTCCTCAAATTTTACGCGCGTTATTCGGTAATAAATGTATAATAATGTATGTGTACTTTATAAATCCCCTTTTTATTTATTACTGTTTTTAATTGTATTGATACATGTTTTTGTCAAACAATTCACCAACTTTGTATCGTAACATGTGAAACTTACTCGAGAAATTATTTAGATCCCCATCCATCATCTATCTAATCATCCACCCAATCCACCCATCCACCCATCCATCCATCTGTTTTTGCAAACAAATAATTATGTGAGTTGGCAAAAAGGAAGGAAGAAAAGGAAGAAAAGAGAACAAATAAACTATATATAGTACATGTCAAGTGGTATGATTCATATTTTATTATCTTCACGCGCGTTATCAAAGACATAATCATTAATATCATCATCGAGCATTTATATAACAGGATTAGACACTGGATACCAAAAAATCCAACAAGACACATGGACAACATTTGATCATGTACGCACGATTGGTGCGCATAATGACTTATTTTTAAGAGAGATGACTTTGCAGGTGAATGACTTGATTGTAAATACCAAGAACAACTGATACCTTTTTAAACGTTAATATGTTCAAGAATCAAGATAAATAAAATGATTTCTGATGTACCAATACGTAATTAGTTAAGGGGGAAATTAACACAAAACCTGATGATTGTAATGGCATTTGACGTGACATCTGATTCCCACATACGTACCAAATCAAATCATAGTATTTACACACAAACAGCTACAGGTAATTAAATTCGCAGCGAGAAAATTCGCAGATGCGCAGTAACTTTACTTGCATCTACGATGCATAATATTCTCATGTCTCTTACGTGTAAGTAGAAAAGAGCGATACAGCTTTTTTGAGTTTTATGCCGAATTGTTGCATTGTCGCGATTACGAAAGATACCTATTTTGGCTTTATGCTTTCACATTGCTTTTGTACATTGAAATTTCTCAGTTTTACTAAACTAATTATTATCGTTATTATCTAATTTTTTTAGAGCCGAGACATAGATTAGAATCGAATTGGAGGTTTGAAATCTATCTGGGCCAAGGTTTTATTACTAATCAACATGTTTTAGTATTGATTGCTGTCATTTGTATTCTATCAAATGTCAAAAAAAAGGGTCTTGGAATCAATTTGAGACTAATTAGGTAATTTATAGACATTTGTTGGGGCTTCATTCAACCATTTTCGCGTGTTTAAGTTTACGAGACTAGCATTCCCATTATTCCGCCCCAAGGTGACGAATTAGCGAATGTGATGTATCGAATTCTTGGGCGATTCTAAATATAATTTTCCTGTATGCTAAAAATGCCATTCAATTTCTTATGTCATCGTGACTAAATCAATTTTACAGTTTAACGCTTTAACCGGTTTCTCAGCCTCTCCCACTCACATGCCAATACTACGTTAAATAGCATTTCCATTGGTACAGGTCTCTAAGTTCATGGCGTGTAACGAAAATAATAATTACATTCATTTGATAATCAAGTTGAAAGTCATTGCTTGAATTCCTTTTTTAGCTTGCTCGCTAAAACCTAACTATTTTTTATTCATAGAAACTCCACACTTTTTTTCCGAGACAGGTCATGTCTCTTAACATGTATAGCGAAATTTCACGTCGCAAACTTAGCCTCTACAACTAGCATGTGAACTTATAGAAAATCCATACTTGATTTAATTCTGGTATTAAATAGATAAGCTATTTTCCGGAATCGATTTTGGTAACGAAAATTATCGTTATGATCTAGACAAGGAACCGGATGGTACTTGTAAGGAATTAGCGTATTTTAAATATATAGGAAATATATTTTAGAATTGATTATCGGAATGAAACACAATCTCGTGATGCGCACATATATAATTCCGTAATTCTGCCCAAACACTATCACCTATTAACGTTAACTACGGCCCAGCTTATAAAATTTTCTTCTGAATAATTAATACTCGTGTAAGAAATAGAATAATATTGAACGTGTTAGAAAATGAAGATTTAACTAAAATTATTATACAAACAAAAATTCAGAAAGTTTAGAATAATGAGTAATAAGTGTATCCAAAGAAATTCCGAAATATAAAAAAATAGTAAATTATTTAATGTTCAATTTAATTAAGACTTGAAACAACAGTTCAAGCTCGATGTAATGGTACTTCGTATAATGATGACTAATTAAAATCTCGATATAATGATGACAACTTAAACCATCTCTAATAAAATCCCCTTCGGTATAACAATTTTTATAATAAAAATTATCATATAATAAGTATTTTTTGTTTTTATGAAATTTGGTTTGAAAACATTTTCTTAATTTCAAAGTAATTTTACAATTAAACTATAAATTTAATTGTAAAAAATTTTTACTATCACTTTGAAACAGAAAATTATTAGTTTAACTTATTCGATCTATGAATTAACTAAGTAAACTTTTATTTTTTTCAAATAAAAGTACAATAACTCATTTTTTATATATAGTGACTAACAAAATTATTAATAAAACATAGTAAAAATTGAAATTTTTGTATTACATAAAAGTTTTCAATTTTTAATAAATATCTTTTATTTTTATATCCAAATAAAGGTAATAAATTATATTTTAACATATATTTTTTTCTGAATTTTTTAGATTTAACCTGACAAAATTGTTCTGATTGCAAAGTTATTTATAATTAAACTATAAAATTAATTATAAAAATTTTTGCAATAATTTTGCAATTAAAATAACTTTGTCAAGTTAAATTTAAAAAATATATGTTAAAATATAACTTATAATTTTTATTTTTATATAAAAATTAAAAATACATATTATTTTTATATAAAAATTAAAAATACATATTTATTAATAAAATTAAAAACTTTTATATAAGACAAAAATTTCAATTTTTATTATATTTTATTAATAAAATCACATATATAATTTTATAATTTTGTTAGTTATTGTATTTAAAAAAATAAAATTTTATTATTTGTTACTTGTAATAAAAAATTTAATATATAATAATAAATAAAAAAATAAAAAATTAAACTTTACTAATAAAACATTTCTATAAAAAATTAAATTTATTTTTTCTTTAAAATTTAAGTTTCTTTCAATTTTAAAATTAAAAGAAATTTGTATTTTTGTATTTTGTAAATTTGTTTTAATTTTAAATTAGAAAATTAAATTTCTTTTAATTTTTAAATTGGAAAAAAACTGGAATTTTTTAAATGTTAAATTTTAAAATAAAAAAATTCCAATTTTAAAATTAGAATATATAAAAATAAAATTTTTAATTGTTTTTATCAGAATGTTTTTGAAGCATTATTTTTTATTATTATATATTATTTAATATTAATTTATTGTTTAACATATTATAATAAATTAGTTAATATTATATATTATATTAATTAATAAATTATATTAATTAATATATTTATAAATTAATTAATATAATATATATATTTTATATATTTATAAACAAATTTTTAGAAATATAATTATAAATATTATATTAAGATAAACTTAATTATAATATGAATTATTATATATTATAATAGAGTTCATTATTCTTTAGAAATAATTATAAGATTATATAATATATTTAATATAAAATAATTATTAACATATTATCATCATGTGATAAATTTAGCATCTGATATAAAATATATCATGTTATTTATAATATATTTCTATTGGATAGTTAGTAAATATATGATTTACAAATTATGATCCTTTTTAGTTCATACTAATCCTTTTAGATTTTATATTATTTTATTTTAATTTCATTATATTTTATACTATTTTATCTTATATCTTTTATATTTTATACTATTATATTTTATATCATTTATATTTCATATTATTCATTTTTGATTCATACTATTTGTTTTTAGTTTATATTATTTTCATATTATTATTATTAGTATGAAAAATACATGTTATCAATTTTTAAGAACCAAATTAGCTTAATAGTAATATATAGTAAATTAATCACACTCAAGCAAAAGATGTGAAATATCACAAAATAGTTTATAGAATAAATTATATCTCATTCTAAATAGAATAGATTAGTTCTAGATTAAGAAAATTAAGTAATAGATAATTATTATAAAAATAGCATGTATCTTAGAAGAAAGTCAAGAAATCTAAGTCTAAGATAAATAATTTTTAATTAACTTAGTATTAATAAAGTTTCTTTACTTTTATCCTTTAAATAAATATAATAACTGACTTACTAT